CTATCTGTAATGCCTCTTTCCAAACAAATAGAAAAGAGAAGGCTATTCAGAGAGAACGTGGAAGTGTTTCTTCTATGAATTACCTCATTTTTTCCACTGACTGCCCCACCCTGGATATCAAATCAGGCCCACCACCACCAAAAGAATCACGGAAATGGAACAGACCTGAGTTCCCAGAAATCTTTGCAAAAGCTCAGTTTAGTAAGCCCTGCCTGAGTGTCACCCAGGAATGCCATCTGAAATCCCTCAGATGATTTATGAGTCTATATGAGCCTTTTAGACAGAACCAAAGAGATTTCAAAATAATGGCTCCCTCCACTCCAAAATGCAGCCAACAGAGCAACATTTCCCCTTTTGGTGCATCACCATCTTGTAGGCTACTGACCATAGTCTTCAAATGAACAGTCAGTACTAGAGAAAGTGCTGGGTGGGTTTTATTTAAATGCTCTACAGGTTATTGGTCATTTATTTTCCATTGTATATAACTGAGGTCTTGAAATAATGGAATTTATCAGAGGAGTGTCCCATTCACCAGTGTATAATTTGAACATCCTAAAAGGCTCATGTAGACCCATAAATCATTTGTATGCAGAACCGAGTGATGTATCACACCAGTGCTCATTTACTCCATGTTGGGTGAAGAAAGGCCTGGGATATGAGTTATCACTTATGAGACAGAATCTCATATATTTACGGCCTACATTGCCAGGAGGCTTTTTAATATAACCTTCATACTTTATTTGCTTGGAGGTCATTCATAATAAAAAATACTTTTACCATGAAGTTTTTATCAAGGTTTTTATTACATATTTATCAAAGCACCCACACGTGTTCATGACAAAGTCACTTTCAAGCACTGTGATGAATGGTCTCGGTTTTAAACTCACAACACTGGGTACTTTAGCCTGCACACACTATGAATTAAGCAGTTATTCTTAACACACCAGCAGGAAATGATAGGCATGTTAAAATCAAACTAATGGTCTCTTAGCAGGTCAGGCATCTATCTAAAGCAAAGATGGTGTAACTTTCCCTTTCTCTTGAAGTTATAATAAGAAAGGTGGCCATCTTAAGCTCTACATAATACAGACACTACTTTATCAAGATACACATCTACTTTCAAGCATCACCTTCCATAAATAATTCCGGCTTATTCTTTTAAAATTTATGTCCAGTTGACTTTGGGATTGATATTATACATCATGTGAATTCTGCAACCTAGAATTTTCTTGTCTCAGGAAAATGTCCGTAATATATGAAATTAACTGGTATGTGAATATTGGTCAAACACTCATAAAATGATATATTTTATATGGTTTAGATATGGTCCTTATTTCTGGTAAGCAGATGTTTGGTTTAAATTGTTAGGTCTTCTAGATTTTTCTTCTTGGGGATCTTCTGAAACCAGGTGTGCCATCTTCTGAATGTCATCAGAAATGCAGACCCTCAGGTTACACCCCCAACCTCAGCCAAGCTGACCAGTTTCACATCTCTGAACGGCATGTTTAGACTTGAAAGTCAGAGACTCCCAGCTCTGGATGGTTCACCTACTGGCTGAGATTTCTTTTTTTTTTTTCCAGTTTAAATTTAGATAAGAAACGAGGTTGCTTCACAAGTCAGTTCCAGGTCCCTCTCCCATTCCCTCCCCTCCTCCCGTGCCCTCCCCCCAGCCCCCCCGTTATCCCCTCATTCCCCCAGGAAGGGTGAGGCCCTCCATGGGGGTGTCCATAGTCTGTCATTTCATATAGGGCAGGGCCTAGACCCTTCCCCAAGAGTTCAGGGTGAGAATGCACCTCACATTGTTCTATGGGAGTCCAAAGTCCGTGTGTATACTTGGGATGGGTACTGATCTGCTGCCCAAGGCTCAATAGATTCCCTAGGCCTCCTCACTGACACCCAAATTCAGGGGGTATTGATCAGTCCCATGCTGGATTCCCAGGCTGATGCCTGGGATTCAAGAGTTAACCTTTGTCTGGTCAGCTGTTTCTGGGGGTTAAACCAGCCCAGTCTTAATCCCTTTGATCACCAGTCCTCCCTCTCTGTTACTGGCTTTCTTGAGTTCAGCTCAGTACTTAACCAAGGGAGTCTGCCTCTTCTTCGATCAGCCACTAAATGAAGTTTCTGTTTCCCAGACTCTCTGGCCATAGGATTGTAGGCTGGCACTCCCCAGATCTATGTCTAAAATCCATATATGAGAGAGTACATGTCATGTTTCTCTTTTTGTGACTGGGTTACCTCACTCAGGATGGTTTCTTCTAGTGTCATCCATTTGCCTGCGAATCTCATGATTCCATTATTTTTTTCTGCTGAATAGTACTCCATTGTGTAAATGTACCACATTTTCTCTATCCACTCTTTGGGTGAGGGACATCTAGGTTGCTTCCAAGTTCTGGCTATTACAAATAAAGCTGCTATGAACATAGTGGAACAGACATCTTTGTTGTATGAATGGGCATCTTTTGGATATATGCCTAAGAGTGGAGTTGCTGGGTCTTGTGGTAGGTTTATTCCCATTTTTCTGAGGAATCTCCATACTGATTTCCAAAGTGAGTTGGCACTCCCACCAGCAATGGAGGAGTGTTCCCCTTTCACCACATCCTCTCCAGCATAAATTGTCATTGGTGTTTTTGATTTTCTGGCTGAGATTTCTTAAAAGACAAGAATAGTTGATGTGACTCATAAAGTCACCAAGAGGCAAGGCAATGTGACAGCTAATATTGTTGAGTTCATAACGTGTTCCAGACAGTGTGCTGACTGGACACTTTGCATGTATTACCTTGGATGGACCGTCAGAAAGATCATCCTCTCTGTGGATGGAGATGGGTTGGTATACTGGGGGGGATTCAGGAATGTTTACTTATTTTAGTCCACAGAAAAATGGCTAAGTCTAGAATGGAACAGTCCAAGAATAAAACTGGTAGGGTTGACAGGTGTAAGGCACATAGATAAGAACAGAGATTAAGTAACATAGAAGATAGTCCAGATGCCTGGGCAAAACTTTTGCAATGACAAATTCAACTAAACAGGGCCGAGCTTGATAAACACAAAGAGATCTGCTCGTCTCCTCACTTAAAAACAACGTTTAGGAGACCATGCCACATGCTACTTTTATAAACAAGTGTACATATGGGACAACTGTATATTCCTTTATGGATGTGAGTCTTCACAATGGAAAACTCTAAGCAATCCTGGCATAGGAGGGTTGTTTTCATGAGTAATCGCAGGTATCATTGTCATTTAATTTTTACCTATTTATGAGTGTTCTGTATCCACGAATATCTGTGCACCGTATTTGTACCTGTTTCCAGAGGCCAAACAAGGGTGCCAAATCTTTCTGCCCCTCATTTTTATTCTAACAATAAAAGTGTAAGGGCCAGTGGAGAATGACATAAATATGCTTCAGAGTGAGAAGCAGTTTATAAACTTGATTCTGACCTCATCCACACCATAATAATGGAGAAAACAAACCAAGAGCTACCCATTAGTGAGATTAGTGTTATTGGGATGTCTCATTGAACTTCCCTCAGCATCACCCAAATGTAGTCTCGAGTGAAGGGTTTCAGAAGAAGCTGTTTGAAATATGAGAGGTCCATACTACTTGTACTTGTACTGGATTTCAGAGACTCTGACAGTCTTATTCTAGTGTGAGGAGCTTCTATGACATGATAGGAGTCACTAAATACTTTCTTTTTTTTTTTTGGTTTTACGAGACAGGGTTTCTCTGTTTTGGAGGCTGTCGGTCCAGCCTGGCCTCAAACTCACAGAGATCCACCTGCCTCTGCCTCCCGAGTGCTGGGATTAAAGGCGTGCGCCACCAACGCCTGGCCCACTAAATACTTTCTATCAATGCCTCTGGGAGATACCACTTAATCCTATGTCTTTGGAAGCAAATAGAAAGCATGGGTTGTCTCAGAAGTAACATTATAGTTAACAACCATGTAAGTCATCTCTTGCAATGTAGCACATTACCCTAGAGATTAGCAGATTAAAGCAACAGCATCATCTCACAGTTTCATGAAGGAATCTGGGCTTGGTTTAGCAAGATACTCTTGACTCAAGGATGTTTGTGGGGAGATGGTCCATCTCTCCTCTCTTGCTCTGGGACCAACAGCAGCCTTAACTAGTAGGAATTTGTCTACATGGTTCTTGGTTGGTTTGGGTCCTCGTCATACTGGCAGATTTACTACATGGGATCCAGAGCCCTCAGGACAAATATCAAAAGAGATCTTAAGAAATAGGACACCCAAGATGGAAGCCACAGTCTTTTAAAACCATGTTTTTAAGTGGCATTCCATTCCTCTGCCATGTTCTGTTCATTAAATGGGATTCAGTAAGTAACAGACCACAGGAAAGCAGGGAAATGACATAAGGATATGAGTGCCAGCAGGCAGGAGTCATTGGATCAACAACAATACAGCTAGGTCTTTGCCCTTCCTGCATGCTTCCATATTTCCAATGTTGTCACTTTTTGACATAAGTTATTTGTAAATGAAATAAAAATATTAAAAGCAATAAAATTAAGGGCTGGAGAGATGGCTCAGAGGTTAAGAGCAATGACTGCTCTTCCAGAGGTCCTGAGTTCAATTCCCAGCCACCACATACTGGCTCACAGCCATCCATAATGAGATCTGGTGCCCTCTTCTGATGTGCAGACATACATGGAGGCAGCATGTTGTATTCATAGTAAATAAATAAATCTTTTAGAAAACTAAATTAAAGAGAAAGTATTCTTGTGTCTGAAACTTCAGAAAAGTCCCGTCACTTCTCAGAGCCTTCTTAACAAGACAACTGAAGTGACTGGGCAAAGGGCTTGCTGTTGACCTTCGCAAGCACACACTGGGTCACGTCACAAACCCAAGTGGGCGATCATTACTCTAAGAGACATTTGAGAGCTTGAAAATACTTGGCACTGGAATGGCTGCAGCCCCTAGCGGTGATAGGAATGCGCCAGTCTCTCTCCCAGTGCTCTAAAGGTCTCCTGTTTGCTTTGTTCTCTGCAGTATGCTTGAGAGTTCAAACAGACTTGATGAAGAGCACAGGCTGATCGCCAGGTATGCTGCACGCCTGGCAGCAGAGTCCTCCTCCTCTGTAAGTAGAATGAAAAGACATCCCTGCTGGCCCCAGCATCTTTGAATTCCAAATGCCCCTCGTCCATTGTTATCATTATACCCGGTGCTAACTAATGAGGAAACTGGTTCCTTTTGTTGTTCTTGTCTATGTTGCTATAATTATGATGTCTTGACAATGCATTCTCGGTTTTAAAATATGATAGACTAAGGAAGAAAACCTCTACAGTGGTATGAAATGCTAAAATGCCCCACATGCCTCCCCTTTACCCAATCTCATTCCCATATCTGAGAACCTGAGGGAGGCTTTTTTTCCATTGGGTAGGCATATTGGAGATCTGTAGAACAGTTTGCTCTTAGAACAAATAGCAATTTAATTGTCTGTTCTTGCCCCCCATCCCACCCCACGAAATAGTTGCTTCTTCCTTGTCTGCATATCCCATGACTCCCATCTCACGTGTGAATTCACGTTCCTAATAGTGTCAACTCCATGTCTTACAGCAGCCAACTCAGCAGAGGAGTGCCCCCGACATCTCCTTCACCATCGATGCGAATAAACAGCAAAGGCAGCTGATTGCAGAGCTGGAAAACAAGAACAGGTAGGGCTTGGGGACATGTGCCGTAAGTCTTTGGAATTTCCTTACATGCCTGTTTAAGGAAGGGTACCACAAGTCTGTGAAGATGGCTACTGGAGCTTCATGATAAAAGTGGTGTGTGTGTGTGTACATGCATGTGTGTGTGGATGGTGTGCCTATGGGGAGTGTGTGGATGGTGGATGGTGTGCCTGTAGGGTGTGTGTGTGTGTGTGTGTGTGTGTGTGTGTGTGTGTGTGTGCCTGTGTATATGCTTGTATGCATGTGCCTGTATATGTGAATGTTTATGTTTGTATAAGTGTATATGTATGTGGGGGTATGTTTGTGTGCATGTTTGTGCATCCATTTGGGTGTATATTTCATAACTATCAACATGATTAATGTTGGACAACTCTGGACAGCTCTCATTTCCCTTTTTCTAGTTTTCTTAACAAGCTGCAGTTCAGGAGGCTCTTCCTGGGAACAAGGTGGAATGTGTCTCTGTTGCTCAGGGATGAGTAGGAGTCTCACCAGGAAGTCCTCCTATAAGGCTAAGGAAACACTCAGGGCAACATCACTTCATCCCCATTATTCAATCCAAATTTCTCTGCATCAACAGGTCTCATCTCCACTCAACACAGATTAACCCCACAGATTCTGTGTCTGCAGCATCTCCCCCAAAGCTGCCCATTCATCTCCACCACCAGTACCAACCAACCTGTCACTTTTGAAACATAAATCATATCATACCTTTCCCAAGACAAAACCCTCTGGATGTGCTGAGACATTTTGATTAAAACCCTCTCCTGTCATCATGGCCTACAAGTTGTTAGCTCCCTAGAGTCCTCCATGACTTTTCAGTGACAGTGCACATTACCATCACATTCCAGACTCCCATGGCTTCTTTTATTTCCTTCAGCCTAGGGAGCTTTTCTCTGTAGCTCTGCAGAATAGTCCCTCATCATTATCAGGGGTATTACCTTCTAAGACTTCTCTCTCTCTCTCTCTCTCTCTCTCTCTCTCTCTCTCTCTCTCTCTCTCTCTCTCTCTGTGTGTGTGTGTGTGTGTGTGTGTGTGTGTGTGTGCTCAATGTCTGAATAATCCTACTTATGCCTCTACTTATTTTATCCCTACTTACCCTGAATGAAATGGACATCCTCTATGAACAGAGGTCATGCCAAAAGCCTGTATGGGCTCAGGACTGTACCTAAAACTGTAGCTGCTGAATAAAGTGTTAGAATGAGAAAATAACAAGTAGGCAAGGCGAAGCTCATACCCAGTTCCAAGCAAGCTCATGATGGGAACAATTTGTTCATTCTAGATTTCATGGAACAACATAAAATGCCTTAATACTTCATCCCATTCTTAATGCTAATGTTATATTTGATGTGGTAGTGGTAAAGGGGGAAACTGATCATTAATTTCATGTCTGTAGAATTTAGCTACAAATAAGAACTAAGAGGCTTGGCACAATTTCATGTGTTTTTCAATAAACACTCTTTTGACTGAATTGTCCCAGGATCTGGCTATCATCATCAGGAAACCACAAATCAGAGTGGAGGCACCAGACTAGCTATGACACCATGACTTCACGGTCTCTGAAAGTACTCCTCTCTACTGACCCCACCCACCAAGCAGATACTCATTGCAGGGTCCCTCTAATTTACAGTGGGATAGAAAGCAAGGGCCAAGGCGGGAGAAAGAAGAGGCACTGTGAGGAATTAGACAAAGGGAAAGGTAGCTACAGAAGTCAGAATTTGCTCAGGACAGTTACCAGTTGGTGCATTGCTACCTGGCTTACGTACCACTTGCTACAGATGGTGTGTGAAAATAACTGTGGAATCATAGCAAGCACTGACGAGTGGGTTTACTTAAAATGAGCGAAGACACCCAAAATCCATGCAGAGAGTGGAGGAGAACAGTAGATGAAGGGAAAGCAGTGGGGGGGGGGCGGGTGAGTGGGAGCGGAAGCCATGAAGAAAGCACATGGGCAACCAGCCAGCTGAGGGTTTGAAGCCAGCAGTGCAGAAGAGCCGCATGGACCCGCAGGTCTCTCTGGGTGTGTGGGTGCGGATGGGAAACAGGAGACAAGGGGGCCGGCTTCTCTGTTGTCTTGAATCTCTACGTCAATTTGGACATCCGAAAGTGAGTAGAAAGAAAGAAAAGGTTCTCCATTTTAAAGTTCTTGATGAAAAACTAAAGTTTCAGTTCCTTTAGGAAACCTGAGCAAATGTTAAAATTGGAGCTCAAAGGAGTTTATTTTATGTTCAGTAACTAAGTAAACTTGTAATATGTGCTATGAAAGGTTATTCCAAATGAGCTCGTCTGGAATTATTAAGTGTCAATAGTAATTATTGAGCCACTCATAAGAAGGATCTAAGAAGATGACAAGGAAGGTGGGGTACCTGGGCTGCAGGGCCTGTGGTTAACTGGAAAAATGGGCAAGTTGAAGCCACTCTCCAGGGAAGAATTTTGCTACACAATCCTTTCATTCAATCAGAGTTCCCAACAGACATCACCTCCTACGCATCCCTTCTCCAGCCTTTAGTCCCTCTTCTAGGGCACACTGCGGCTGCTAACCAGGAAGGACCCACCCATCTGAAAGAGAGGTCCAAAGTGATGATTAGTGACATCCAACCACGTTTTCAGGTGACAAAAGCAAGAAAGCTAACATTTGCTTTGAGATGTTAAGAACAGAGCACTGTGGACTTGTATATTTATAGAACATGTGCACTGTTCCTCTTCCGTTTTCTCCCCAGCAACCCCTTATTGTGGATGTCATGACTATCATCATCTGTCACACAAATTAATATTAAAAAGTAATACACCCTGTCTCCCTCTTTTCCCCACTGTGACCTACTTTGCATTGTCACCATGGTCCAGGTTAAGGGGAGTAAATGTTGTGTAGAGATGAAGTGTGTTACTTGGACATGTCACGAAAGTGAAATGTGACCATGAAAGACATAAGAATTGCAGGTAAAAATACAAATAATCTTTGAGAAACACTTGCCAAAATAAACCCAAAGGACTCAGATGAAGGGTAAGATAGAAGTATCAGTATCTAAGATGACCACAAGGCACAAAAATGAAATTTACGCTGTAGTCATGAAGAGCGGCGTCAGACATTGATAAGTCGTCTACATGCTTCTGATGGAGAAACCGACTAATATGCAGAGTGCATTTTCACAGGGTTGAGTAGACGCTGGGGAGAAGTGAGAAGTCCAATGGTGAATAGATGGTGCCGGAAATAGCATTAAAATAGCCAGTGCAGAAGATGATTAGACAGAAGAATAACCTTAGTGGGATTGTCTTTAGGAATTCCAACTGAGGGGTTCTGCTCTCCTCCCTGCTTTCCATTAGGGACTCCAGATTCCCCAGTAACAATCTGAACACTCTAGACTCTCTAGAGGACCTCTTTTCTTCTACTCTCTTGCTTCTTCCTCTTGTTTGCCTGGTACAAGAGGTGGTGGGGACTGGGAGTGAGGAAAAGAATGTCAGGGTCAAGAACAGTATCTGTGCAGCATCAGGAGGACAGGTCAAACCTGGCCTGAGATCCGCACACTCTAGGCTCCTCCTGTACCCTTTACAGGCTGAGGGGAAGCGATGCACTCATCCACCTGCCCACTAACCAACCCATAAACACTTCATCTAGGCTGCTCCGCTCCCCTGCCTTTTCACCTCTCCAGAGCACTTCAGTTAGTGACCAGTGCTCTGCTTCCCACTTAATCTGCCTTCCTCTGGGCCTTGTCCTGTTCTACAATCAGCAGGAAGTGCTGTAAATGTTTTAACAGCCCTGGCTGTGCCTTGACACCATTTTACTGCTTGTTTCTAGGCGTTTTTGTATAGTGCACCCCTTAAGCAGGTGTTTGTAGACCTGAGAGAAAAATAGAGAGGGAGAGGGAAATGAGGAGAGAAGAGGGGAGGGGACGGGAGGGGAGGGAAGGAAGGGAGAGTTCCATCCTGCCCTTGGGCATGCATGATTCCTAGAATTCCCAGCCCCATCCCTGAAGAACAACTTATTCATCCTGACTTCACCCCTTTTAAGCCCCATCTAGGTTCTGCTCATGCACTGTGGAAATTCACTCATTTTCAGGCTTAGATCTCTGGCACCCAAGGAGCCCTGAGTGACAGAAGGAGAAAAATGCTAACAGCACCTGGAACTACCCTTCCTATAACCTTGGTGGCTCCCTCTTCTCTTTTATAAGGAAGAGAAGTCTCCATGAAATATTCCCTTAAAAAGATATTTCTACCAGAGTATCGGGGAGAAAACAAGGAAGGGTTAGGATACAAACTTCTCACCAATCCCAGGAAAGGTAGACTGAACTCCTGATTCTCAAATAATCATACAAAACTACAACCACCCTGATGTGTTACAGGAGGCTCCGCTTGACCTGTACTGTTTATATGCTGGTACCCATCTCCTGACTCAGAGAAGTCTGACGCCCCCAGCAGGAAAAAGAAGATGCTCACTAGCCTCATTTATTTAATGATTACTCATTGTATGTATACATCATGTCACTATGTTACTCCATAAAAATGGACAATCATGTGTCAGTTTAAAATCTTGAAACACGGACTGCCACCCAACCCCTCACTTGCTCAGCAGGTGTGTTCTCCATTCTAGGTATTTTGTGCTGTCTGACTGGCCCTTGGGCCCTTTGTTACGTACAAACCTGACACATGTCCCCCAAAGGTACATAACTAGTAATCCTACTTAATGGCTTCAAATCCACTTACATATAATTTGCTGTGTGCAGTTGCGTGTCACTGATGGCTGCCTAATGCCCACCAAGTGCAGGGCACTGTAGTATCAATAATAACCTGTCATGCCTCATTGATGACAGAGGTCCCACCAATAGCTGTCTCTGTCACAGGGTCCATTACAAGGAATCCTTTTAAAAGCCTTTCCCTGTAAGACTGCCTTACTTTGTGATTCATGGTTAAAACTAAATATCTAATGTAAAAAGATTTTTTTAAATATGACTTCTGGATTTCTCTGACCATTTCAGCAAGAAAATTTCTTCTTGGTAAAAGAATAAGGATATGTATTTTTGTCGAATGAGCATCATTTATACTTTCTTCTCTCTCAAGTACCTCTCCTGTGCTATTCATGGGTATTTTGTGGGTGTGATCATAAATAATAGGAGATACCAAACATGGAACTCGCCAGTGTAGGACATGTTTGTCCTACACAGCACCACATTACTTACCGGAGAGAGGACAGGTCCTAGGGATAACTCTCGAAGGCACACTGCACAGCCTGCATTGTTTGGGTGTGCTAATGATAGGGTGAGCCTTCCCCTCACCCACCCAAACTACACTGGAGCAGGACATCCTCTGGCAGAGGAAGGTCAGCTCTGTTCTTAACCACAGGACACCCCCAATTCTCCCTGTTCCGCTGGTCTGGTGTGTTCACCTGTCGACATCCAAGGAAGTACTGACACCGATTCTTCCCTTTGTCCTCTCCCCAAGAGAAATCTTACAAGAGATCCAGAGACTCCGGCTAGAACATGAGCAAGCTTCTCAGCCCACACCGGAGAAGGCTCAGCAGAACCCAACCTTGCTGGCAGAACTGCGCCTCCTCAGGTAATAGAAGGACCCAGATTTCCCCCAGGGAACATATGTTAGAGATCTGGCTTTTTATGTGTCATGTGGGAGGTCTGTATGCATGCATACATGTACACATGTGGGTGGGTGCACTTGAAGGGGTTTGAGGTTTGTTGTCGGGAATCTTTTTCCATCACTCACTGCCTTATATATGGAAGAAGTGTTCCTCACTCAACCAGAGCTCACCCATGGTGCTACTGTGCCCAGGACCCCCTGACTCTGTCTGAAGAGCATTGAGATTACCAGTAGGGCACCATGCCCACCAGACATTCATGTAAGAGCTGAGAATATAACACCTAACTCTCATGCCTGTGTGACAAGCGCTTTACGTGAGGAGTCTTGGCTCAAATCCCAGTGTTTGAGCTCTTCCACACGATCTGGCTGCAGCTGGCCAGCACACAGCCCTGAACCAGCATAGCTGCTCATCTTTCTTTTCAATAAAAGACACTTGATCACTGAGATCTGAACAATTTTGAGAGATTATACTTTTTTAATAGACTGAGAAAAAGACAAAGCATTCCTTAGATCAAAAGCAAAATATCTTCACTGGAAAAAAATGTTTCACTTGGCTGTTTTTAGTCATTTGTACTATCAAAATGTGTGTACATTAAAACCAAACACATAAGCAGCTAAATAAACATCGCAGGTTTCTAAACTGAAGGATTTATATATAGCCCACAAAACAGAGTCTGCTTTTCTCAAAATCATGAATTCAAAAGAACCATTGCTTTGTGGTACATGTCTGGAATCTGAGCCGACATAGACACTGAGACAGGAGGGGCCACGAGTTCAAGACTAGCCTAGGTCATAATTTTCTCACTGGTAGAACTCTGGGGTCTTTTAAAATAGATGGCATGCCTCTGTGTTGTTCCTTGGATGGGAAAGCCTAATCTCATCTAATCGGTCACCTTAGGATACTTGAGTTGGAAGGGACTGTGGAAGATCATGACTACTCTCTAGGGTGTCGCTGCCTTCTCAGGCAGAAAGCTGAATTAGTCTGCCTTGGATGAGGACTGCAGTTGTTCCCACTACTTCTATGCTACAAAATGTAGGTGTTATTGTATGTCCCTCTCATGAAACTGACATGACATCATGCCTTGGCTATGACAAGTACTCAGGCATATAAATGGAGCAAATAACAGATAAGTGAATTCCCTCAAGGAAGACCATATTGATCTTTCAGAAGGAAGCTTTAACTATGGGGAATTACAAGTTCTTATCCTTCAGTTCATATACTGAGTTTAGTCCATGTGTACCTATAACCCTGTGAGCTATAGTTTCTACAGTGAGTACAGGTGCCTCTTCGCAGAAACCCATCAAAACGAAGTCTATTTTCTTCCTATAAACAGAAACTAAATTCAGTAGATTCCTCCTGTCCTTGTTATAAAGTCCTGGTTACATGCCACCACCAATGCTTCTCAGGCTCCCATCCAAGCTCAGCTCTTCAAACACATAAACACCAGAGGAGCCCTGTAGTCCACCTTGCCCAGGACACAGACCCTGCCTCTCCTGTGCCAATGACTAGAGCAGACCTATCAAGGCCTCACTTGAAAGGAAACTGGCAAAACTTGCACACGCTGCTTCATGTAGAGTGATTGCCTTATACTTTTGAATAATTAAATAATATAATCAATAGTTAATTACTCAATTAACAATTTACTTATTAACAGCATAATGACTTAGTGAAACAGAAATTCTTCCAGATACCTATACCGTTTCTATTCCGACCACAACCAATTCTTACACACTCTACTACACTGTTTCCTAGAAGAGATGAAAATGAGTAGAAGAGAAAGATGATGGTGTTTCTTATCATCTTCATCAAATATATTTTAAAAGGAAATGACGGCTTGACAATCATGGGGAAATGGAAAGGTTATTGATCTGCTAGGATCAGGGTAGCACCCGTGTCTGCCTAAAATACCATTAGGAGGGGAATTTTCATAAGCAATTTTGGTGGTTCTCCTGTATAGCTTTTGCGTCTCAATTCTGTTCCATATGGAGGACAGCCTAGAAAGATGGTGGGATGAGCCTGAGTTCCTGATGTTTTTCCAGTTGATATTTCCCCATCCCCGTGAAGCCATCACCAAACAGACACAGTTCTAACCACCCTCCTGTGCCCAGAATGTAGGCGTCCCATGACCTCAGCTGAGCACAAAGTCTTACTTCCTAAGGAATTAGAATTACCAGTAACTTCTTCACCAGTGGTGCCCAACTGACTTACAGTCTGCCTCTATATTCTATATATTTCTCTACCCTGAAGGAAGAATTGTCCTCTCTACCAGGCTATTTCTCTGGAGATGCACAGACATACTGATACCTAGATTTAGATAGATAGATAGATAGATAGATAGATAGATACATAGATACATAGATACATAGATAGATAGATAGATACATAGATACATAGATACATAGATACATAGATACATGGATGGATGGATGGATGGATGGATGGATGGATGGATGGATGGATGGATAGATAGATAGCCTGGGAATTCTGTGCTTTCGTCTTTTGTTATTTTAGACTTTCAAGAGGGCGCTAAGACAGCGGCCTCTTACAAAGTTACTTTGGCCATAGTTCACAGGCATGAGCAGCATCCATGTGAGTCCTTACTGTGTCTTTCCTACTCCATCAGTCAGGGACTTGCTTTAACAAATACTCAGTTTTATTTTCAATATTATACTCACTATGGTCTTTCTAAATGGTTATGTTTCCCTTTTTCCTTAAGCCACAGGGAAACCAAAAGCCACGTTAGCAGACCGGATGGGATTATAAACAGGACTTCCTGTGTGCTAACCACCTGACACTTATTGGGTGCTAACCTCCATAGGAGCTGTACCACTGAATGCAATAACAAACCTGGAAGACTCTCTTATACTCCTTTTATAGACATGGAAACTGAGATTCAATAAAGTTAATAAATGTGACAGACATCATGACCCTAGACCCCTAAGTATATATGCATGTGCTTCCTAAGGAAAACATTTTCTTTTATAACCATGGCCTAATCCTCAAATTCAGAAACTTACTGTGTATACATCTCCTATATAATTCATATTAAAATGTTATTGTACTAAATCTATCTTAAAAGGAAGTAGATTCTAACACATAGACACTAAATTAAAAATAATATCACAGAATTTCTGATTAAAAGGCATTTATTTAGAAATTCATACACTTAACAGAAGGAAATCAAAATTATTGTTTAGTCTTTTGTTTAGTGTGTTGTTTGACCACCTTGAATGTGGAGACTGTAACATGCATTGGTAATTGGGCTTCCTTGGCAACTGTTGCTCTAAACACTTCCAGAGAAGACTGAACAAAGGCATTATTAAATGACTTTAATAGAATTGAATGCAGTGTTTTTAAGATTGCTATTATATTATGAATGTACAATAAGACTGATTTATGTTGGCTAATGGTTAGTTATTAGCAGTTCACTTTTTCTAGGGGTTTAAATGTCTCTTAGTATTTTTTACCTACAATAGTAGAATTTTTCACTGACCTCAATGGATTCCTGTGGCCAAAAATTATAAAGAAATCATGAGGTGAAAGCTAAGTATAAATCAGGAACATTGCCAACTCTTGTACCAAGTCCTACAGTAAATATCCAGCGAATACTGTGTGCAGATAGGGCCATAGAAAAACAGTCGAGGTGTTTGTCATTTAAGGATACTTTGGGATGAGATGAAGCATACAAAATCAGAGAGCTTCTGCCAAGAAGGCAGCAAGCAAAATAAGCTGTCATAAACCTATAACATGTGATGCTTCCTTTTCTCTGGATTCAGAAAAAAGAAGTTAAAAGAAGAATTGTTTAAGGAAACAGTCACAAGTGTCAAAAGAATATGGGAAGGTGGCTTGAGAGATTGCTTAGCAGTTAAGATCTCTGACGGCTCATCTAGAGGACTAATGTTCAACTCTCAGCATCCACATCAAGGCTCACAACCGTCTGTAATTCTAGTTCCAGGGGCTCGGAAGGCTTCCTAGGCCTCGGAAGGCACTAGGCATACCTGTGACGCACAGACACGCATGCAGGCAAGACACTCTACACTTAAAACAAAAGTTTAAAAAGGAAAAAGAACATGCGCATGTGTGTTATTGTATATGTACAGCAAAGGTAAAGATATGTATAAGTTTGTTTATAAGTCCTTTTAAAGAATTTCCATATAAAATCTTATTTAGATGTTTCATTTATGTTCCTAACCTATCCCCCTCTAAGTAAATATCTTTCAACTGAATAAGTCACAGCCTAACTCACTGTGATATCCATTATACTGTCAGTTTTTTATTTCACAGACCCTGCTGTAAGTCTACCTAATACGGTGTCTACACCATTGAGACATATGTGTGCATACATTAATGCATGTTACTAAGGAATGCAGTCATTTTTTAAAAAAAATAAAAATAAAAACTTTGATATTTCAACACAAGCAAATTTGCCCACTAATTATCACAAAATAATGAAATGTGGTATCAGTTTGGAAAATATGAATATGTGTCACAAATCTGAAGGAATATGTTGTTGCTTTGTTTATTATATGCTTTTATGTTTGTTAATTTTATTTAGTTTTATTTTACACATATGAGTGTTTGTCTGCATGCATGTATGTATACTACATGCTTACAGTGCCCACAGATGTCAAAAGAAGGTATTTGATTCCCCTGGAACTAGAGTTATATGTGGTTTTGAGCCACCACACAGGTGCTGGGAATTGAACCCAGCTCCTCTGGAAGAGCAACAAGTGATTTTAAGCACTGATACAGCTCTCCAGTCCCACGTTTGATTTCATTTTTTGTAGTCCTGAGAACTGAGCATAAAACTTGAGTTTGCTGTTTGGTGGAGCTCAGGGAATCCTGCAGAAGAGAGGGAAGAACTGTAGGAATCAGAGGGGTCAAGGGCATCTCAAGAAATCCCAGAGAATCAACTAGCCTTGGTTCATAGGGGTTCACAGAGACTGAACCAGGAAGCCTGCATGGGAATGACCTAGGCATATATGTTACAATGGTAACTCGGTCTTCTTGTGGGGCTCCTATCAGTAGCAGCAGGAGCTGTCTCTGACTCTTCTGCCTACTTGTAGGACCCTTTTCCTCCTACTGGATTGCCTCATCCAGTCTTACTATGAGCAGAGGTACCTTGTCTTATTGCAACTTGATATGCCATGTTTGGTTGATATCCATGGGAAGCCAGCCCTCTTCTGGAAAGAAACAGAGAAAGAGTGGATTGTGGGGTATATCAGAGGAGGGTTGGGAGGATTGGGAAGAGACGAAGGAGAGGGAAACTGTGATCAGGATGTATAATAATAATGATGATGAAAACTAAGAGGAGGAAGAGGAGGAGGAGGAGGAAGAGACAGGGTCTTGCTACCTTCTGCAGGCTAGCCTTGGACCCACTCTGTAGCCCAGGCAGGCCTTGAGTTTGTGATCCTCTCGACTGTCTCCCAGGTAGCTGAGATTACAAGCCTCCACCCCTAGGCCTAGCTATCACTACTTTTCCTGCTGTTTCTTTCTTTCCCCCTTTGAGTACTTTGTCATACTTCTTAGTGTCAACATAAATGATGGAATGCACCTTAGTTTCCACTCTGCTGACAGTTTAATAGAAGTTCTGTAAAACAAACACAAGCTCTATTCATCATTTTCAGTCATAGAACAAGTGTGTGGGAGCATGTCATCCTGACTTCACCAAACACTTCAGAATGGTTATAACCAGCGATGGCCATTACTGTTTCATCTCAGAATGTGTACCAATCATACACATGCTAGAACAGACCTTAAACTGCATCTCTACATCAGATTTCCAAAGGTCATATATATGAATTTGTAGTAATTTTGCTCTGGATTTTGAAGATCTGTGGGCTGTTCCTTTTCAGTGACTGTTAGGTTTGTGTTTGATTTCTGAAGCCAGTAGTTCAGAACAAAGCTGGCCAGCTAACAAACAAAATGTGGAAATGCCAAAAAAAGTTTTCTATCCTTGAATTTTGTGTGACTTTTCCCAAATAACAGTCCCCCTCACATTACAATCATTTCCCCATTTGAAGACTGTTATCTACATGATAACATTATCAAAGACTAGACATACCCCCTTAGAGAACGTCCACTAGACACCCACAAAACCAGGAAATAGAATTAGCTTGACTTGAATGTTTTTCTGATGATGGCGGCTTGTTTCTTAGACAGCGCAAGGACGAGCTAGAACAGAGGATGTCTGCTCTCCAGGAGAGCCGGAGAGAGCTGATGGTCCAGTTGGAAGGTCTCATGAAGCTACTGAAGGTAAGGCATTTCACATCCATGTTTCTGACCTACTGTTGTGGTGTTTCAAAATTGTTTGCACATAACTTGCAATGACTTTTCCAATTACTGTATCCAATTCCCTCCCCAAATGTTGTGAAATCAGATATGGAACTATTTTTTAAGTATGTGAAACAGCAGCAGTTGACCAATGGTAACTCTCATTCTCCCCACTTTCTGGAATTAGGCTGCTAAGAACCATAGGGCAGATTCTTTGTTTATGTTTAATCTCTTATGTCCTTTAATATTGTAAAACTGGATTTGTTTATAAATGCTTTTGGTCAGTTTTAGCAATTCTTACTACCTTGCACAAGGCTAATGTCTAATTCATAAAATTAAGAAATAGTGACTAAGAAGTCTTGACAATAATAGCAAACATTTTATTGCATTTCTGTGGCTCCAACAAGTCACATGACTTCCATGGGTCTCTAGTGCAAACAGTAAGTGGGATATTTCCTCTCTCTTCTGAGGGAAAAATACTAAACAACAGAATCTAGTAGGATGCAGTAGGCTGCTATTTCATTGGAAGTAGCAATCTCCTTTAATAAGATCACATTTCTGTCAGCAGTTTATGCTAAACTACTTTGCAAGTTAGTAGCAGATGGACACATGGACACTCGGGCCAATAACAGTGTTCATGGTCCATGGTCACCTGGCCTAAGGGAAACAGTGGGAACCAATATAAACAGGAACTGCAGTGTGCCAAAGGCAGCAACTGGGACTTCTGGGAGAGCCACAGAGGGAATGGCCCTGTGCATTCACTGTGAGACAGGAATTTCACACTGCTTGGTTTCCAGTCCATGCATTTACCACCCCTCCCCCACACCAGCATTTGTGGTCTCTCTGTCGTCCTTTTTTCTTTCTCCTTCTCTTTCCTTTCTTACTCCTTTTTCTCCCTCCTTTCTCTTTCTTTGTTCAAACGCTTTTTAAAACCAATTTTGTGAAGCTATCTGTCCCAGACTCTGCACTTGTAGCATTTCTTTCATTTGTTTTCTTTGCTCCATTTTGTAACTTAGTCGAGATTTTTGGCTATCAGAACCTTCTCTAACAATACATTTGGGAAATGCTTTATTATTACTCAACAAAATTTACTTCCAGTGTTCTAGACATACGAAGTGTAGAGCTGGGGGTTTGGTTGGTTGATATGGGTTCTTTCTTTGATAAGACTGGATCATTAGTAACTCGTTTCTAGCCTATTATCTCATTTGATGCAACAGAAAATCTCTTTTCTGCTTCCCTTTAAAAATACGCCAGGTGAAAAGTTCTGAACCCATCTTGCCCTTCCCTGAATGGCAGGAAATGTTGACAAGTCTCCCTGCTGGGATTCCTACTCTCCTTCCACTTGTAGTGATGAGATAGGAATCTACTGGCCAGCAGCCATCATGGAATCAACCCACCCAACTGAACAAAGACTTTGTAGCAAGTTATACAAGTGCTTGCATAGACAGATAGATCAGATACACGGAGGAAAGGAATGGGTCTGTTGTCTCAAATACCTGAATAGGCTTGGAACTGAAGTCACAGGGGTGGCAGAGGCCAGGAGAGGCATTCAAGCCATGTTGATGCCCCCAGTCTCTTGTCTTCCATCACTGTGTTCGTGCTCTGATTGGAACCTTGGGTAATCTAATTGTTATCGATTCGATCTTTCTGTAGGAAGAAGAATTGAAGCAGGGAGTAAGTTATGTCCCCTACTGCAGGTCTTAACTAACAGTGGAGGGCTGCCGTCCTGCTGGCGTTCTCATTGCTTTGGCCTCTAATGTATGTCCATGCTTCAGTTTGGAAAGAAAAAAAACAAATCATACTAATTTGCTTCCATATTTCAATGTAGCGCTTGAATTGAGATGATAAAATTCAGCATTCTGTTGTAACTGTCACTGATGTCGGCAACAAATGAAGACCTGTTTCGTATTTAGAAAGGAGAACAACTTGTGGTTCACTGGGAGAGTTTTAGGTCCCCAAGGGTGTTAAATTTCAAACCCATGTTATGCTCTCTGGGGTTATTAACCAGACCTTCTTATAAAAGAAGGCAGGTCACTAGAGCTACACAAAGGTCTCTGTTGTCTCACGAGCTGCAGCCCACAAGAGCAAACCTCCACACTGTGAACATTCGGTTCAGCTTCCATGTCTCCAAAAGGGTGTAGAAACTCTTTTGTAAGAATCAGGTAATAAATCCGTTTCCGTCACATAACTACAAGACCATGCCCTCTGCCCTGTGCTCCAAGACGCGTTCAATTGTATAAGATGAGGCTTGGAAGCCAACTGTCCCCCTCACGTCTCTTGAGTGTCTTCCAAAGCTGCTTGCTAACAAGATTCTATGAAGAATAGGTAGCTTCCTTCCCTTCCACTCTTACCAAGGACCTTTCTGCTCTGTGGTTTCATATGGTCATTCCACACATTTTCCCCCCTCTGGAGATAGAGGCATTATGACAGTCTGACATGTCTATCCTGAAGCCCTGTGTGTGACCTTGTGGTTGGGTTCAGAAGCAAGCAGAAGGAATAGGACACTGAGAGAAATTATACTAAACTAGAACAAAAGCAAAGCAGCTTGAACACCTGTGCATGTACCAAAGTGTATGATGATATGTCCCAGTTACTTGCATTATTTGAAGATTTAACATTTTATACATGGTTAATTAGAACTTCAACCTGTCCAATCTCAACAGATCTGTTAACTCTTCTGTATGCTCCTTTCTAGTACTCATTCTGTGTGTTTGTGTGTAACAAAGAATGTTTGCAAAACACTGGAAACTTTTTAACTCTTCATTCCCAAGGTCTGTAAAAGAATAAGAAAAGAACCGTGTCAAACAATCTGTAACTCAAACAATAAAGGCAACGTGCGGCATTATTTTGTATATTATGAAAAATTACTTTATTGAGCTGACGCCAAATTTTCACCAGGGATGACTCCTTTGTGTTAAAGATGCACTGTATTTTTAGCCTGAATCCCTGGGGTGTGACCACTGACTTAGATCATGACAGAGCAAATGCCTAGCCCTTGGTAACTCTCTTTGCAAACAGGCTTTTCCCTGCATGTACATGGAAACAAAACTTTGCTCTAGTCTAACTTCCTCCACCCACTGGTCAGGAAGGACAATTGTCTTGCTTTAAAATTTATTTCCCCCAGGGATCCCTTCTCTCCTTTCCCCAAGCAGTATATTCTGAAAGCCTCTATTGCTGGGTCATGGGGCCAGGCTGTGGGAGCGCCCTTTAGGTAGATCCTTGACACCGGCCTCTCTACCCGTTACCTGTGGAGCTCCAACGGTCATCTTTCAGTGCCACCCAAATGTGGGTAACACACTGCGGCACTCCCACCTGCTTGGTTTCTGCTCGGGTTTCTCCTTAAACTGACCTGAGGTCAAGGTCACTTACACTAGAGCATATGAACAGTAGCCTCCATGACATGGAAATAGAAGAGTGTGAGTTGAAGGGAGAGAGAATGGGGCAGGGAGCTCTTCTGAATCCTTAGCAACAGAAGAGGGAGATCGTAATCCAGGGATTTATCAGCACAGAAATACCACTTCTCAGAAACTCGGAATATCTGCTGCGTTAAGCACTAACGCTTTCTAGAAAAGTATTAAACAATACAATAGAAAAAGGCAGTCATAGATTGCAAGTGGCCATGGCTTATACTGACCTCTAGTCAAAACTAAAGACAGAACCCCCATGAAATCCAGCCCCGCCGAGTTGGATCAGTAAGAAAATGAGCTAATACCTTTCAAATTGGGTTCTTGTGGTATAACATGATCTAAGGAGAGAATTTAGAGGTTTTAGATTGGCATCTACTTCTAAATTCTGTTTTATGATTCTTTCCCCTTCGGGAACGTTCTCTTTATAAAAAATCAAACTCAAATGCCCCATACAACAAATCATGCTTGATTTAATAATGCTTTAATATCACCAATGTGTGTGGTTCAATGTAGTGTTTTATTATGCTGGTGTTTATCATCCTCACATACACTGTTTCTTGTTATAGGCAATGCATGAAAGTATCCCCTTGAGGAGAGAACATGAATTTTAAAAAATAGTGCCTGTAATATAATATGATTATGGTATCACGAGCAATAAATTGTGTTTTTTACAAAACTGGAATCAAAGTTATCCTACCCTCTTTCTTCTTTGTGTACCCTTAAGATTTATTGAAGGAGCTATTAAAAGATACTCACAAAACGTATCTTAAGAGTGAAAACAGCTGCCTGTAGTGGGCAGTAACAATATGGCCGAGAGTTTCTGGTATATTCCCAGTCCCAACTATTATGCATATGTCTAAAACCGAGTGTGTTAACTTCGAGTTTCCACAATAAACTCTCAGTAATTTTCTTAGAAAGATTACAGCAGATTGGCCTGAATTACAGAGGCCCCTGCTCTAGCTCACACTGATAAAGATACTGGGAAAGTAAACTAACTCCCTGACCACTTCAAACATTCTGGTAGTATATACCTCACAAGATTACTGTGGATATTTAAAAGACAGTGGGTATGAAAACATTCTGTGGAAATGCTATCTGAACATCAAATATAAGAACAGGTATCTCTAGGCATAGTTAGGCAGTCGTATATAAACTTTTCAAATTTTTGAATACACACACCTATTCACTTTTTTCCTAGCAGTTAACTAACAGAGTCTCAGTCTGTTGAAGAAGTCTAAATATGACTTTCAACTTACTTAAATCTCTTATAATTGTTTTTACAATAGAAAACAATCCTTATATGTCAGAAGTTACAGAAACAGCCCAGTAAGATTGCCTTGCTTCTGTTAACTTCAGATATGTCCCTAGATATACGAAAGTCTGCGGTGTTTGCTGTCAACACATTCCTGAGTACCTTTTTAATAGATAATAGATTGAATGGCCGAGACTGTCAATGCCTTTAACATACACATTCCATAAAAGAGCTAATTAGTATAGAGTAATTAGTAGTCACAAATCAGGTGTGTGTTTATTTTCAGTAATCTTTCTTTCTTTGGATTCACAACAAGAGTTAGT